ACTTTTCCCGTTTGTGTCTTTCCCTCAAACCAGTGAATTTGTTATGACTTGGGGCTCCCCGCGTGCTAGTTTGTACGTGAAGTGTGTGGGTTACAGTGAGGGCTGGGTCCCACCCGCCTGTGTGGATTCACAGGAAGTGTGAGTTACGAAGTCTGAAGAAAATGTTGAACGGTCTCTGATGGAATGACGACTACACCATAGCTCAGTGGTAGAGCATCGCTGGCTACAAGCGAGGGTTCCTGGTTCGAGTCCTGGTGGTGACAGTCAATGTTTTGTTCAGATGTTTCCCGTTTGTGTCTTTCCCTCAAACCAGTGAATAATTATGTTATGACTTGGGGGTCTCCGCGTGCTAGTTTGTACGTGAAGTGTGTGGGTTACAGTGAGGGCTGGGTCCCACCCGCCTGTGTGGATTCACAGGAAGTGTGAGTTACAAAGACTGGAAAAATGTTGAAGGGTCTCTCCTGGGATGACGACTACACCATAGCGCAGTGGTTAGAGCATCGCTGGCTACAAGCGAGGTTCCCTCGTTCGAGTCCTGGTGGTGACAGTCAATTTTTGTTCAGATTTTTCCCGTTTGTGTCTTTCCCTCAAACCAGTGAATATCAGTTTATCAGTGCTGTTTTCTGCTGCATGTCTAAACTTCACACCTACACTACAGCTAGCACTAACCCGGCACACAAACCAAAAACAGCATAGTTGTACAACGTACATGGCACTGTGCACGACACGTCGTTGGTAGATGGTGATGTTCAGTTCTTTGTCTTTGTGCTTACTTTTCTTGAAGAGCACTGACTAGGTCAGCTAGAGCTGGTCACATTCGTACACGTACAGTCATCACTGTGATGTGTAGTAAGTTTCTAGGTGGATTTTATTCTTTCCAAGCATGCCCATAGCCTGCACTCTATGGGTACAGTCAGGTCTTCTTTATCACCTACTCTAAGTTTGTGTTCAAGTGCCCACAGTGTTACTGCATACAATGGCATAAAGTTAGTCTGCTCAGCTAGGTTAGGAAAACACGTTATGAGACCCAAGGTGCCTGCTGACGGGTGACCAGCTTTTACGGTTGCCTAGCATATTAGTATTAATACTATTATACAGGCTGAGGTACTGTCACTGGAATTACTGCAGCCGAGACATTGGAATGTCAATGGACGTGCATACGATTTTGGACATATTTTCCGGATCATATCGACTTGCAGGAAACAAGTCCCTGTTTGCATAGGTAAGATGCCGTACATCTCGTACGTGTACTGTATCCAATGGTACATGTACTGGGCCAGCATGACTGTACTGACTTATTAGGGATGGCATGCAGACACTTGCTCTTCTTGCATAGGCAATGCTAGTACTAACTAAACTTGACTACCGGTAGTCTTCATGTACAGTAAACTGTCAAGGTGACCACTCTTATAAGACGACCACCTGCTTCAGAGGACCACTACAGATAGAGTCAGGACTTGGTGATGTTGCTTCCAGTCAAATGACCCTGGATACGGAGATCACCTGTAGACAGCGACCACATTTTGAAGGCACCTTGAGCTGTGACCCTAGACAGGTTATACTGTAGTGTAGATGTACATGTAAAACCTGTAGCAAAAGACCACCGTGACTAGCGACCAGCCTGGTGCCACCGACCACTTCCCCAGGCACGGACGGTCTCACATTCAAAATTCACTGTGACTAGCGACTACCTGCTGAACGCGACCAGCGACCGCCTTTTCTTGTCCTAAAGACGATTTTTGACCCGTAACTAGCGACCGCGATGTAGGAAAACAAATGTTGCTCGAACCTCCTTCTTGAAATTTTGATGATTTTCCATGGTCCTGAAAGGAATTTTTCGATACCACAGCTGAAGAAATGAACGCAGGTTATTTTGACTGTGGAGTCGGTGTGGACTGCACTACACCTGTCAGAATTTCAAGCGCTGTCAAGAATAAACATGATAGGAAATGTCTTGGAGAGCGCATCGAAAGTGCTCTCTGATTGATGTTTTACTACTCGGAGGAGAAACGAAGACTGAGCGGCTCTGTCACCCCAGTCATACAGACGAATCGACGATGGCATAAAGGAGTCCAGAAAAAAAGCAGCACCGCAAGGTCCTGATGCAGAAGGGTCGCGTTCAAGCAATCGAGAAGTCGCAACAAGGACAGTCGGTATGATTGATCGCATGAGCAAATTTGAAGCCCAGTGCAAAACGAAACTTCCACAGGGAACGTTTGACTCCTGGCTTCAGAAGTAGGAGGCAAATTTGATGTCCGCAAAATATTAATCTTCTCTCTCTCTCTCTGTCTCTCTCCATCTCTCCGTCTTTCTCTCCAAGTGTTGTTTGACCTGAAATAAGAATGGCATTGCGCAAGTCTTGGGGAATTGTATTAGCTGCATTTTGATATACATAATAATTATCATATAATGGGATCCATAATATATGCTCGCGTGGTGCAAACCTCTAACTAAAGACCACCTGCTACTAAAGACCGCTTTTGCTGGCACCAAGGGGTGGTCGGTAGTCACAGGTTATATTGTACATGTAAATCATCGGTGTACGTGTAGTGTACGTGCAGTGTACGTGTAGTGTACGTGCAGTGCGACTGCAGAGACACTGCAGTACACGTACTGTACCGAGTCTGAACTCTGAACTACCCTCATCATGTACCATCACGCATTATAAAAACCTGTACACGTGCAGGGGATGTCGGATGGTACTCGACATTGTTGCGGGCATGAAGAGGGGGCAGGGGGGGGGGGAGGGTGTTGTCCGGGAAGAAATTGAGGAGATGAGCCCAAACGTACGAGATAGTGGTAGGGACGTGGCAATGATTTTATAGGAAAGGTGTTCGCTCCCCACAACGAAGCTTGTGTTTTTCTGCCGACTTGTCTTGACACTTGACTGACTCACGACTGCCATCTAGAGCACACTAGAAGTCGATCGAAACGTCAACTGATGAGGAGCGCATACCCCGAAACACTGTGTATTGAGCAGGGTGTGGTGCCTTCTTGCAAATTCGCCGAGTCGAAGGTTCGATGGATTTCTTGTGTGCTCATGATGCCAATCGCGAGTCAGTCAATAGTCAAGTAAAGTCGGTGAAAAAACGCAAGCTCCGGTGTGGTGAGCGAGCAACTTTTCTATGAATAGGTCCAAACAGCCCATGTTTTACTGCTTCAAAATTCTCCAGATGAAATCTTTATTGGTGCCTCTTATTGCACGTGCCACTCCGGTTCCTACTCCTTTGTTACCAAGTTTATTCAAGGTACTGTGTATCCAAGGTTAAATCATTGACCTGGTATAGTGCAGGTGCAGGGTCCTGCAAAATTAGTACTTTCAAGATGGTATTCCGCAGTGTATCCAGGGGTATTATCGATTGGCGAATCTGGATTGAGTGCGAGCAGGCGGTGTGGTCCGAGCAACGCTGGCCCAATCGAACAAAAAAAGGGTGTAGTACGCAAAATGTATGCATGCCGTACAAAAATTCTGTGAAAGCTGTCCAAAAACGACAAAGTCCATTTCCACTCCAGTCACTCCGGGTGTGGGAGCCGGTGTCGTCGGATTCCACTCCAAGTACATCTACTCCGGATTCGACCAAACGACCACTCTTACTTGGAGCACACTGCGTCTGGAAGTCAAGCCGATGTCGTCTGCAAACTGGATTGACAAAGTCGAGGAGGTGACAGTCGGTACGTCTCTGGTTTAGATGCTGGAGGGCAGCGGACGCAGGACTGAACCCTGCGGAACACCGAAGGTGCCTGTAACAAGCCTGCCGAGTCCGGAACATTCGCTCTGCACTTCTCCTAAAGCTACCCCCCCCCCTTTCCAGTCTCACTCCCCTCCGCTCTGCTCCCCTCCCCATCTGCGTCCCCTTCGCTTTCCGTCTCCCTCCGCTCTCCGTCTCCCTCCGCTCTCCTACCCGTCTCTCTCCCCTCCCCGTATCATTCCCCTCCGCTCCCCTCCCCGTCAATCTACCCTTCCCGTCTCCCTCCCCTCACCTCCCCTCCCTTCCTTTGCTCCAGCTACCTCCTCCCATGCAGCACTGCAACACACCAGGAGATTACCTCTAGTACCATGATCTTCTTTTACATAAAGTTGATTGTTCCAACTAGGAACACACGCTTCTTGCCGAACTTGACACTTGACTGACTCACGACTGCCATCCGGAGCACACTAGGAGCACGTCGCACCTTCCACTCGGCAAACCTGCAAGAAAGCACCACTCCCTGCTCAATACACGGTGTTTCGGGGAATTCACCCCTCATCAGTTGAGCTTGAGTAGGCTGAGGAAGATTGTGCCTGAAAAGCACCACTTATATACTGCTCTCCAGGCCAAACCATCACTAGGGATACAAACTTACAGAGACGCTTTGTTTCCAGCGCGACAAACACCTCGTGAAGCTCCAGGTAGCAGCGTGAGTCAGAGTCGCTCATGGAGTTGTGATAAACAGACGTTGAGAGCCAGTATAGCTATTCGCAACGCTGTCACCTCCAACAACTAGTCGCACGTCCGCGTGAGGGACAACAATACGAACTTAGAAGTTGCGACTTCGGCGGTAATAGTCATGAAGTTGATTGTTCCAACTAGGAACACACGCTTCTTGCCGAACTTGACACTTGACTGACTCACGACTGCCATCCGGAGCACACGAGGAGCACGTCGCACCTTCCACTCGGCAAACCTGCAAGAAAGCACCACTCCCTGCTCAATACACGGTGTTTCGGGGAATTCACCCCTCATCAGTTGAGCTTGAGTAGGCTGAGGAAGATTGTGCCTGAAAAGCACCACTTATATACTGAAGCTCAACTGATGAGGGGTGAATTCCCCGAAACACCGTATATTGAGCAGGGAGTGGTGCTTTCTTGCAGGTTTGCCGAGTGGAAGGTGCGACGTGCTCCTCGTGTGCTCCGGATGGCAGTAGTGAGTCAGTCAAGTTTCAAGTTCGGCAAGAAGCGTGTGTTCCTAGTTGGAACAATCAACTTCATGACTATTACCGCCGAAGTCGCAACTTCTAAGTTCTTTTACATAATTCATCCAAAACTAGCATAATTCAATGATGGAAATGGAAGGGGAGGAAGGGTGTAAGAAAAGGACAGCACTATCCATGCTCTGTGAGTGGATATTCTGTAACATAGCTGTCACCATGGTTACAGTGGAGTTGCTGGGTATGTTGCATTACACAGCAACACAGAATTACTGGTGGGAAAAACAATGATGCTAGTGGATATGTTGCTTCTTGCACTGAAATCTCTACATGTTTGGGAATGTAGCGTGTGTTGTGAAGATCGTACTGAAGAAATGTCTGACAAGTGATCTAAACCAATTATGGTAGCTTTCACTAAACATTGCTGAAATGAGAAAAAGTATAGATTTCAACTGTAGCTGCCTCTCTCAGGTAACTCAAACACTACGGGTACTATCATGCATTCCGTCTGTTCAAGTGTAGCAGCTATTTCCAGTTTCAAGGCTGCTCCATGAAATGGTCATTATGAGAATAGCAAACAGGAAGAGTCTATGGCCAGCAGAATATTGATCACGTGACTGAAAACACTCACTGTCATATTGCTCTAGCTGTTCAATCAGGTCGCTTCATGAGTTCCAGAAGACAACTTGGGGTATATGAGATCCACCCGTCAAACAGCGGCATTCTGAACTGCTCTGTCTGACATGGATTGCCACCTAATGCTACAGCACGCATACGCTGTACACCAGGTGAGCTGATGAGCTGCTTCACTCCATCATCTGTCACATTGTTCTTGCACAGTGAGATGGTCTTCAGTGTGGTGTTGGTCTCCATAGCAACACACAGTGCACTAGCGCTGCGATCACTCAAGGCATTACGGCCAAGTCCGAGCCACTTGATAGACTGATTACTGCGTAGAGATGTGATGAACTCAGCTCCAGTGTTATCATCCAGTCCTGTCCCTGAAAGTGCGAGACAAACAATCCCTGTGCACTGTGACAGTAGACTCGTGACTGGACGGATAACATCAGCTTGCTGCTGCTGTTGTGGTTGTTGGGGCGGTGGCAGCTGTTCATATGTAGGAAAGATGTTGTTATCTGACATAACCAATGCCAGTGGAGATGATAGAATTCGATGACGACATGCTCTGAGTACTGAGCACAATCCACGCAGTCCAATGTTGTTGTACGATAAGTCGACCACTCGGATTGTGTTGTTGTGTGCCAGACCTTGCTCGGCAAGCACCTCTGCACCACTGTTGGTTATGTTGCAGTAACTGAGATCTAGTATATCCATAGTTGTGTTGCAGGCCTTGACTGGGATGACGTACTGGACAATTCGACGGACTAGGTTGTACATACGAGAATGCTGATTTTCGCCATCAGTGGCAATAGCTGGAGCAATCTGCTGTGCGCCAGCATCACCAATGTATTGCGTGCAGAGATTGCCATGGTTCTCGAGGAACCTTTGCCGCAGATCCTGTTCCCCTACACCATCGCTGTTCACAAAGTGTAGACCAGTGACCACCACATCACCACGGGATAAGCACTGTGCTGTTGCTATGGTTTCCAGGCCTTCTCTGGTCACATTACAACCTTGTAACTGTACTTCACATTTGTGGCCATTCTGAACTGCTTGAGAGGTGCTAGTTGATGAATGCTGCTGCTGCTTTCCGTTCTTTCTGTGATAGAACTGACAGATAGCTGGAACGATTGCATCATCCAGGTCATTGCCTATGACCCAGACTACCTCAACGACATTGGTATTCAAAGCGGCCAGAACTTGCTCAATGTCTGAGTTGCTGGGGTTGTTGCCGCTCATATTTAGTCGCTGAAGCTGTGGCAGTTTGGTGATGAGTGCAGCCAATTGACTTCCACAACCAGCTGTCAGACCAACATGCCGCAGACTAAGGTGTGTAAGCTGACAATCACTGTAGAGTGTCTGTTGTAGATACTCCAGAAAGCCATTTCCAAGTTCCGTATTGAAAGTTAACCCTAAATGCTGGAGATTCCTAGCTTGCACACATGCCAGCAGAGCTGGATAGGTACATGCTGATAGATCACTACTCTCGAGCCCCAGCTTTCTCACTTTGCTGCCTGGACAAGATAGAGATCTTGCTGCCATTTCCACCAGACGGGCACTGCATGGATTCACCCCCAGTCGTAGCTCTTCAGCCTTGGTCAGTGTGAGTATGTTGCACTTCTCTGCTGTGAGGTTACAACCTGTGAGATCCAGTAGCTTGATAGTAGTTGCATGATCATGTACACACTGTAGTGCCAGTATATCACTCATTACAAGTCGAACGTTATTCAGTCTTAGTCCATCAGCAGCAATGCTGTCCACTGCCTTGGAGAGGTAACTGGTCTCCTCACTCGCGCCAGAACCAAACATTGCTTGTTCTGTGAGGGTTGGTCTGGTGTTGACATGCTCCATGAAGTAGGACAGGAGAGAACGAGTAGCGTTGGCAACAGTCCGGCCATGTTCTAACATTGCTGATTTTAGTATACTGATGATCTCCGCTAGTTGCTTGCTAGTTGCAGTACCACATACAAGTGCCCAGAATGGTGCTGTCTCCTCACCAACACCATAACCATCTTGTGCACATTCTTTCACAGCTTGAGCATGCTCAGGATCTGCACACAAGTACTGTGCTGCAAAGTACTCCTGTAGTGAGTAGTGTACGAAGTAGACACATGGTTTTGCCTGTGAACGTAGTACATTGCCAATACCGGTGTTACTCTCAACAAGGAGACCAATAGAGCAAGCTGCATTCCTGCACTCACTGGACAAGGCGCTTGTAGGAATCAGTACTTGCTTTCTATTCAAGTACATGAGAGCTACACGACCAAGCTCGTTCTGTGCACGTTTGCTCATACATTGATGTGATTGCTCCATATCACTGCTACGTTGTAGTATTACTGCATCTCCACTGACAGCTGCGGTGTGGGCTGTATCAGTTGATGCTGGTACACAGTGATGGGGTTGACTGCTACGAGTTGTCCACTGTGGAGTAGAGTGTTCCTCTTGGTCCTCCTCTGTTTTTGTGACACCAGCCAAGCTGTTACTCAGTGTGGGACTCTCAAGGCTGACTCCATCATCTTGCAACCGCCAGCCACGCAGGTTTGCAGCTTGCTTGACAAAGCCGGAGTACATCATGGTTGCACACCTTGGTACATTCTGACGACTTCGGTAGAGCTCACAGAGCATTGCACATAGCAATGGGGAGGACTTCAGTGCTTCTTTGACGTGGCCTAAGCTAACCTCGCATAGCTCGTCCCAACAAGACTGGCCAAGATGTTTACCAAGATTACGAAGGCAGTAGCGTTCGAGTTGATGATCGTTGAATCCAGCCAGCCAATAGTGTTCTTCACATTCTTTTGCAAGCGTGGATGCTAGCTGACAAGGACGGCTTGTCAACAAGATTCGGGAGTCAGCAAACCGCTCACGATGGACGAGAGCAGAGAGAGCTGATCGTTCCTCGAGCACATCTTTACCAATTTCGTCCAATCCATCGACAATGAACAGGACTTGTTGTGATTGATCCTCTAGGTACTCGATCATTTGGTCTTGCTGGTGTGTGTCTAGATGCAGACATTGCTCATCCAGGCCAAGTAGAGTAGACCAATTGTAACTGCAGACTCTACCCACATCACGGCAAGGTAGATGTACGACATAGTTGAAATTGGAGAGCACTGCATCTCTTCTAAACTCCTTCTCCTCTTCGGCATGTTGTCTCCGACTTCTCCCCCCGCTGCTCTCAGTGCTGCTCCCACGACTTTTTTCAATGTTGGCCCCATCTCTGCTTCCACTACTTTTGCCATCATCATTTTTGCCCTTTGCACTGTTTTCGTTGCTGCTAACACATGTACTGCTGCTGCTGCTGCTGGTGGTGCTGCTGCTGGTGGTGCTGCTGGTGATAGTGTCGATGCTGCTGCTGCTGGTGGTGCTGCTGGCGATAGTGTCGGTGCTGCTGCTGGTTGTGTTGGAAGAGGTGCTAAGACTGCCTGTCATGGTGGAGGCGTTACCACTGTTGGCAGCAGTTACATCCTTGCTGATTGTAGTGTTAGCTTGGCGTGTGGAATCAGGATCAGTAGCACTGGTGCATGCACCCCTGTCAACAGCACTGCAAGAAGGTTCAGCACTGCTGCTGCTGCTGCTGCTGCTGCTGCTGTCAGTGTTGTTATGGTAGTGGTCGGACAAAAGCATCTTACACACTGTGCTTTTCCCGCTGCCAGCTGGAGAAACAAGCATGCTGCTTTCAACAAGTGATCTGCGGTCGTTATCATAACGTGATGGCACATGCTCACCTAGTTTACGTTGCAGAAGTTGTGATGCTCGACGTATTGGTATTGATCTCGTTGTCATGCTGCATCTCTCTGTTTTTCCACCCTTTTCATTCAGTTGTTGTTCAGCTTGCTCCAGTGTCAAGGCCTGCACGCTAGTGTAGAAACTGCGAACATCAGTCTGTCCTTCACGCCGTGTCCCAATTCCTGGTAGAGCAGTGCTCTTGCTTTCGATTCGACAAAGTTGAAGAAGACGCTTACGGTAGTGTGTTAGCAATGGTTCAACATCAGCCTGCGGTTGTTGTTGTTGTTGTTGAGTTGTTGCTTGGCTCTTCTGTACACTGGCAGTGGTTGCATTGGTGGCTGCTTGTTGCAAGCCGGTAGATGGCGTTGGGAAGGTTTCTGGTAGGAATGGAGCAGAGCGTTTACACTCCCATCCGTGGAACTCCATGTCACCATTGGATTGGCTGGACAAATTTCTTTGATCGTACATTTCTGCCCTGCTCTCCAGCTCCTTGGCAAGCTGCTCAAAGTTGTTCTGACGTAGAACATTGCAAAACATTGCAAACACCTTCTTTCCTTTCTGACCTGGCACAGTCAGAAGGTAGCCAATTAGCAAACTGATCTGTTCATGGCCAGTCAACATGCGGTGTGTGATTTTGGCAAACTCGCGGCTGTTGCTCGGGATAAAGCTGTTGCTTACAATCCGATCCATGATGTCGTCGACAGAATGTTGAAGGTCCTCGCATAGCGTGCTCTCGAGGTCCTTGAATGCCAGTGCTTCGATGGTCTTCATTGTGAAGGCTACGTTTGATCAACACATAGACTGTTGGTGACTTGGACAATTGGTGTCGTGAGGTGAAGCTGATTGACTACCCGGACAATTGCTGGTCAGTGTGCTTCACTGATATAATGTCGATGGTACTGGAGATGATAATGGAGATGATACGGCAATGGCGTTAGTAGTTTCACCTCGCAATCTGTACACAAATTAGAAAGGAAAGAAAAAATGGAGCAGATTTAGAACGATGATATCATTGCATATTGAACATGAGAGTCTATAATAGTTAGGAATGGGGGGGGGGGGTAGTGATCAGACTTGTATTCATTTTTATGAAGAGGGGCGGGGTGGGGGGCGGGGGGGGGGTAGTGATCAGAGTTGTCTTATATGAAGAGGGGTATGGTGTGAGGGGAACGGGGGGGGGGGGGGGGGTGTAATCAGCCTTGTCTTGTATGAAGAACGGGGAGGGGGGGGAGGGAACATGGTGACCTGACTTGTCTTGTGTGAAGAGGGTGGGGGAGGAGTGGGAGGAGGGGGAGGAGTGGGAAGAGGGGGAGGAGTGGGGTAGTGATATGACTTGTCCTTTATGAAGAAGGCTGGGCTGAGCAGTGGTGGTGGGGGGGGGAGGCATTGATAAGACTTGTCTTGTATGAACAAGGGGTGGTAGGAGGGGGGGGGGGGATAGCGATGAGACTCCTTTCGTGTGGAGAGGGGTGGGGGAGAGGGGGGGGGGCATAGTGGTCCGACTTGTTACCTTAGACTGTTAGAGACGAGTGGTGGCAGGGTTCCCTTCACATTTGTCTTGTGTGGAGAAGGGTGTTGGGGAGGGGGGGGGGGTGGCGAGAGGGGACATAGTGATCAGCCGTTTTGAATGTGGAGAGGGGAAGTGTAGAGCTCAGTGGTCCGACATTTGTTCGTTTGGAGAAGGGTAGTGGGAGGGGTGGTGGGAGGGGCCGGGTGGTGGGAGAGGGGAGGATGATAGTGAGTGGGCGTGTCTTGTGTGAGAGGGGAAGCAGAGAGCATGGAGATCTGAGTGTTTCGAGAATGATTGCTAGGAATTTATAGATAACGACCATGTATATTGTATGGGCCGCAATCAGCTAAATTAATTATGTCTTTGGGTTTTCGAAAAAAATTAGAATTGACGGAATGTAAAAAATGTTTTTGTCGAGCGAGTTCACGCTGCGCTTTATTCATGAACCGGTGGCGATCATCTTCTCACTTTCGTTCAAACACTATTATTTGGTGGTCTAGCTCAAGTAGCTGGCGTGCAAAGACTGACAATTCCGAGTCTACTAGTGGCAGTAGAGCAGCACACAGGGTCAGACGATCGCTGTGCCCGGGTTTGCTCAGGTGTCAGCAAGGTCGTAGCAGGAGATCTGTAGAGCCACGATGACAATTTTTTGGACCCGATGTTGATGTCAACAGCGAAGCTGAATCGCCCTCGTCGTCCCCAGTAGCGAAGAAGCCTTGTGGGCGAGTACATTAGACCACGAATTAGCCTACGATAATAGGGCCACTCAGCTATCATGAGTTGTCTTGCGCAGTTTCGGAAGCGCAGGTGACGATCAAAAGTGTCACTGCCGGAATCGAAAGGGTGTGCAAGTGCAACGCCGCCCAAAGCATCTTGCCTGATTCGTGGTGTTTTCCCGGAAGACCGTGGTCCATGGCTTGGAACTGATGTCGTTGATATGCTCATGTCGGTGTCATCATGTTTAGTTCCTTTGTATTATGCTCCTCCACAAAAGCCATTTGTTCGTCTGTGCGAAAACTGTGATTGTCTATTTCAAGGTACATGTATATATTTTGAAAGTGGTGTTTGGGGCACTTTTAGACTACTTTGGTGCCCTGTATCGCCTTCAAGAGGTCAAGTGAGGTCACAAACACAGTTTTCTGGAGAAAAACGAAATTTGAAAGTTGTCCCTCTGAGACATGTTTTAGCTGGTTGCGGCCCATATTGGCAAATTTCAAGAAACCTCTGCAGCTGTGAGGTCACAATTAATGATAGCATCCAAACAGGCAATACAGCATGCATGTATCTATCTACCTATCTCATTTTCATTATGTGTTGTTGTCTTGCACACTCAGTGTAAAATTAATATAGATGTGCTGTGGCCGGATATGTAGAGTTGTTATTCGTTATCCTGCATGGTTGGTTCATGGGATGTAGTTCCTAGCAATTTCACAGCATTATGTACTTCATCACTGTGCTATATGTCAGGAATGGGAATAGAGAAAAACTCACCGTGTCTATGGCCGAGGACACACTCCCTGGTGATGGTTTCTGTTTGCACGGAGTCAAGTTGTATAGGCAGAGATCAGGTCAACAGCTCAGGATCAATAACAGTATAGGGTTGTAGTGAGAATGCAGCTGATGTGAGGGTAGAACAGATGTTCCAGCAGCAATGTTATTTCAAGTGTTGATAGCCACGGTCAGCTGAGGAATTTGCACGTTCAGCGAGTGACCTGTTCCACAGTATTGATCTGTGAGTGGAGTAGCGGAGAGAATGTTTTGATGACGTCACCAGATCTTGTTCTGGCTGTGTTGAGTGTCCTAGGCACGAATGCACACAGTAGAATATCAGAGATTAAAACAGCATTGTGAAAACAGTGAATTGTTCACAGACTTTACTTTAAGTCAGTGGTGGAGCCACATGATCATTCACTATAAGCGAGGGTTCTTGGCTCAAATCCTTGTGACAAACATTCTTTTCCTCAGACTTTCCCATTTTCAACCCCCTCTTTTCCTTGTGAATGCTCACAGACTGAGTATAATACACAGGCAGATAGTTACAGTCAGTAGACATTTTTCACTAATTTCTGCTACAGAGAGACCAACAGGATGGGTACACAACAACAAGAAAGCCAAACTCCAAGTTCATGACGTTTTCTACAAGACGTACGACTCCTATCATCACCCACAACCTTAATACACAATAATGCAGTAGTGCAGTGTGTCAGTCAGGGGTATGTAAACATAGGCAGTGCTGCTACTTCACTCTTGCAAGCAGTTACTTGTCCATATAGCGGGATGAGCTAACCTTGGGTATGTAAAGGGTGAAGCTACCACACAGCTAGCCTTGGTGACTGGAGCAAAAGACAATAGTGTTGTTCTGCCAAGTTTCCTCTAGTCTCTGCAGAAAACTCTCAAGTTGTACTTGTAGTTGTGGTGTTGACTTAGCCAGGTGAAGACCGAACACAAGTAGACAACTTTGAAGCAGAGGCGGTGTACTTTATGGGAACGGAGAGCGTACTGATGTAGGTACTTTGTTGAACGTGTTGTAGTTGAGATGAACTGCGATAAATCTTTAATGGCTGATAGGTTGATATGATGACTTGATACCCGAGTGGGTCTATTGTTATTAGGCGGATGTCTGTGATAGTCACCACTGTAATATCAATCCAATACAGTGGTGGAGATTGAGATCTGGGAAAACATCAACAAGAACAGAGAGGTCACATACAAAGTTGAGCCGGAAAACCAATTTCAAATTTGCAGCCAAACTGGATGAATAGGATATTGTTTTGAACGTGGTCAAATGCTAGTAGAGCAAATGAATGTTCCTGGCTGGAACGATCAATGTTTCAATAGCATTAGGATACGTATATGACATATTGGTAGGAATTAGGTTTGATGGTAGTGGTAGTAGTGACTGCTATATATATAGAAACCCGGTGGAATAGCCAGGGCTGGTGACCTTACTAGCTTAGCGTGTACATGCACTGTAACACTGCAGAACTGGACCAGCAGTACTGACAGCTGCATGGCCAGCACCCCGTGGCCGCTTGACGTCTCACCGGATTTCAATGCCCACACCAGTAAAAAGTAAGTAAATTATCGTGTGCGTTCCCAAAAGGGAACTCAACCCCCACACCAGTACATACATGTATATGTAGGTAGGTAGTAGGTTCAATGGAATCCCCGCCGTGTCCTCTGCTTGCGGGGGGAGCTCCAAAGTGGGGCAGCAACCACCTCCTCTAGTGCTATACTCCACTGAATGAATTCAAGTTAAAATGTGTGTTTGGTGCTATGTAGGATATGGTTGCTGGCGGTGAGCTAACTAAGGTGTGGACGTCAAGACGTAGGATTACATGTACAAATGTATGATAAGGATGGAGCGTCATGGCGAGTACTAGTGGAAAGGTGAGAGAACACCTTGAAGTGAGATCAGTGTGGCTTGCAGAAGAATTGCAAGGGAAACAGGGTGTGGGAGGGATACAGAGGGATACAAAGGGATTCAGAGGGATACTGAGGGATACAGAGGGATACAGATGGATTCTGTTCCAGTACGGTCTTGTTTGTAGGGACAGGGCTGGTGTGCCCTATCTCTAAGAGTGTTGATTGAAAAACATTCCTACATCCTGTAATATGGTACCTGTCACTTTAGACAGTGGCCTGCTAATTGGGACATCTACCAGCCAATTTTGACGAAGGCCTGCTATTGCCGGTGGACAGTGGCCTGCTAACTGGGACATCTACCAGCCAATTTTGACGAAGGCCTGCTATTGCCGGTGGACAGTAACCTGCCATTGTGGACAGCAACCTGTCATTTCAGTTAGCAAGCTGTCACTTTCGAAAGCAACCTATCCCCTTGCATGGCAACTCTCATTTTCAGACAGAAACCTGTAACACTCACCTGGCTACTTAATAAATCCTCTAGTAAATCCTGTAGAAATGGTGTTGAAATCCAGGTAACTATGACAACCAGATGAATACCATGAGTACTGTATTCCGGTGTAGAGTGTTAGCAGCACAGGACAGGGTGTATATGACCCTGGATATCCGGTTCCGGCTTTGTGTTGCTGGCTTGGTGTGCTGGATTGTGTTATGACTACAAATCAACTTCAGATTTCAGACCTATTGACAAAGTGGAATGCCAGAGTATAATTGTTGCTCCGCTGAGGAAGTCTCTTTTGTGGACAGCTGCTGACCAGTGACTCTCTGAAGTGAGTGTCGACAGTTTCCTGTGACAATAACAAGACAAAAATGAACCAAAGACAAACAACGACAAAACATTCTGGCTGAATAAAGACAGATGGGGCAACGAGCAAGCACAGCAAAGCTTCAGGACAGGAATCTCTGTGGAAATAGCTTTACAGTACAATTACTCCTCCATCCACACACTGCTCAGTACTGCAACCGACAGAGCTTGCTTACAAAGAATGCACATAGCTCAAAACAATGTCCAACTTGGTTTCGAAATTATGCCGTGTGGACTTGGCAGCGTCCATCCTCCATGATTTTGTAGAGTGAACCGCTCCACACCTTGATTTACTCTATGTAGGGGAAACCCCTAAAAATGGTGTACGTATAGTGCCTGCAGGTAAACCTGGAATCCAATTACTCGTTAGACAATGACTCCACTCTGGGAAAATCCTATTGAGACAACAGTAGACCACTGTGTAAAACCATGGAGAACTGACCTTTCTTTTGCACAGAAACCCCTTGAGTCCACGTGTTTCCTTTGATGTAGAGAACACAGGTGCAAATGCCAAGAGACGATAAGGCAAGCCAGCAACCCTCACACAATGTAAACTTTGACTGCTTTCCTGATGAGTCGCAGAAATTCCAGTGATAGCTGTAGTAAAATTATTAATACCAGTGCCAGTCAATGGTAATAGTGGTTACAATTCCAGTCAATTGTAGAAGTTGTAGATGACAGCTGCAGTTAATTGTATCAGTGGTAGATGACAGCTGCAGTTAATTGTATCAGTGGTAGATGACAGCTGCAGTTAATTCCTGCAGTGGTTGATGACAGCTGCAGTTAATTGTGTCAGTGGTAGATGACAGCTGCAGTTAATTGTATCAGTGGTAGATGACAGCTGCAGTTAATTCCTGCAGTGGTAGATGACAGCTGCAGTTAATTGTAGCAATGGTAGATGACAGCTGCAGTTAATTGTATCAGTGGTAGATGACAGCTGCAGTTAATTCCTGCAGTGGTTGATGACAGCTGCAGTTAATTGTGTCAGTGGTAGATGACAGCTGCAGTTAATTGTATCAGTGGTAGATGACAGCTGCAGTTAATTCCAGCAGTGGCAGATGACAGCTGCAGTTAATTGTGTCAGTGGTAGATGACAGCTGCAGTTAATTATATCAGTGGTAGATGACAGCTGCAGTTAATTGTATCAGTGGTAGATGACAGCTGTAGTTAATTGTATCAGTGGTAGATGACAGCTGCAGTTAATTCCAGCAGTGGTAGATGACAGCTGAAGTTAATTGTATCAGTGATAGATGACAGCTGCAGTTAATTCCTGCAGTGGTTGATGACAGCTGCAGTTAATTGTGCCAGTGGTAGATGACAGCTGCAGTTAATTGTATCAGTGGTAGATGACAGCTGCAGTTAATTAAAGCAGTGGTAGATGACAGCTGCAGTTAATGGTGTCAGTGGTAGATGACAGCTGCAGTAAATTGTATCAGTGGTAGTTGACAGCTGCAACTATCAGTGGTAGATGACAGCTGAAGTTAATTGTGTCAGTGGTAGATGAAAGCTGCAGTCAATTGAAGCAGTGGTAGATGACAGCTGCAGTTAATTCCTGCAGTGGTTGATGACAGCTGCAGTTAATTGTGTCAGTGGTAGATGACAGCTGCAGTTAATTGTATCAGTGGTAGATGACAGCTACAGTTAATTACAGCAGTGGTATATGACAGCTGCAGTTAATTCCACCAGTGGTAGATGACAGCTGCAGTTAATTCCTGCAGTGGTTGATGACAGCTGCAGTTAATTGTGTCAGTGGTAGATGACAGCTGCAGTTAATTGTATCAGTGGTAGATGACAGCTGCAGTTAATTCCTGCAGTGGTAGATGACAGCTGCAGTTAATTGTAGCAATGGTAGATGACAGCTGCAGTTAATTGTATCAGTGGTAGATGACAGCTGCAGTTAATTCCTGCAGTGGTTGATGACAGCTGCAGTTAATTGTGTCAGTGGTAGATGACAGCTGCAGTTAATTGTATCAGTGGTAGATGACAGCTGCAGTTAATTCCAGCAGTGGCAGATGACAGCTGCAGTTAATTGTGTCAGTGGTAGATGACAGCTGCAGTTAATTATATCAGTGGTAGATGACAGCTGCAGTTAATTGTATCAGTGGTAGATGACAGCTGTAGTTAATTGTATCAGTGGTAGATGACAGCTGGAGTTAATTGTAGCAGTGGTAGATGACAGCTGCAGTTAATTGTATCAGTGGTAGATGACAGCTGCAGTTAATTCCGGCAGTGGTAGATGACAGCTGTAGTTGATTGTGTCAGTGGTAGATGACAGCTGCAGTTAATTGTATCAGTGGTAGATGACAGCTGCAGGTATTTGTGTCAGTGTTAGATGACAGCTTCAGTTAATTCCAGCAGAGGTAGATGACAGCTGCAGGTAATTGTGTCAGTGGTAGATGACAGCTCCAGTTAATTGTATCAGTGGTAGATGACAGCTGCAGTTAATTTCAGCATAGGTAGATGACAACTGAAGTTAATTGTATCAGTGGTAGATGACAGCTGCAGTTAATTGTATCAGTGGTAGATGACAGATACGGTCAATTGCAGCAGTGGTAGAGGACAATTCCAGGCAGTCGTAGTATCGGTAGATGACAATTCAAGTCGTGGTGGTACCTGTAGGTGACAATTCCTGTTCCAGTGAACGTTGTTGTTGATATCAAACAGTTACTTCAATGTTGGATACCAGATGACCATAGCCCTGAAAACAAATGCCAAATAGTTGATAGTGCCGTGCCGTTGATGAAAACACTTCAGTATTGCTACCACCTGTTCGGTTCCAGTACTGCTAGTCAATGTGGGAACTGTTTTGCTGCTTTTTGTAGTGGAACTCTGGCCAGGCTACAGAGCATACAGAATAAACACACACACGCACACGCACACACACACACATGCACACACATACATACACACATACATACACACACACACAGATGAAGAGTAAATTAGCAAAGAATCGGACATTACAACAGTCTGTAGCCATGATAAAACTTTACAATTCTCTAGCTATTTAGTACCTCTAGCTAGAAGTGCTCATTGTCCCAACAGTAGAGATTAACGTCACTGATTATCAAGACAAGATTGCTAAGGCAATGTCATACTTGTTCAATGCATGTCAACTTTCACTGAGATTGGCAACTGCATACAACAATCGTGACGAACCTCTTAATCCTTTGGGAAGGTTGCTCAAAGAACGGCCGATCACAGCTCTGTGTAGGTGATGGGAACGTGGCAGGATCCTTGTTTTACTTCACAGGTTCAACAAGGTGTTTCAAGGCTGTCCAACGACCTGTCACACCAGCTCTAACGTTCACCATTGGTTATTGCAGTGAGAAAGTATATTGGTGAGTGATTGACAGGTACCACTGAAAGAGAGTGAGGATGTCAATAATAGCACTGTAACTGTAGAGATATAGCCGTGATCTGGTGATCTGCACACTTTACACAACCCACACGTTGTTCATGTACAACTCAGCTGACATGCTCATCGGCACACCTTGTAGCCAACACAGAGCTTGGAACTGGCCGTGCAAAAATGATCAGTTTGCAGAGAGCCAGCCGTGTCTAGTACAGTAGTCTGCATATGTTAGTGAACAACACAGAGCAAGCAACACATAGACAGCAAACAAGATCACATTGGAAACGAACCGTGAAAGTAGCAAAAGCTGGGAGATGGAATTTGCCAAACAAATGGTACCGTATTTCCCCGAATATAAGTTGCATGTTTCTACCCTCAACTTGATGGCCAACAAAGGGGGTGCGAGCTTGGAATCAAGCATGGCTTACTACTGGAGTGAATGTACTGAAACAATATGACGTGGACCTAAAAATGGGGATGCGACTTGCAATCGAGTGCGACTTACAATTGGGGGAATACGGTACATGAAAGAGGAAAGCGATAAGTTTTGTAAGAGAAGGCTTGAAAAACACACACATTGATCATTCGGGAACATTTCTAGTGGGATTTCAGGTCACATACTTGAATTGAGTTCATAGCGAAGGGTTTGGGTTCAAGGTGACGGATTTATGTTCAAGTGGACATATTTTTACTTCCAATTTTCTTCAAAGTAACAAGGAGTGGCTCAAAGTTACAGGTCGTGGCTCAAAAGTGACCAGTTATGGCTAATAATGACTCGACTTTGGCTCAAAGCGACAGATTGCCATCCCATTGGACATGTTGTGGCTCAAAATGACAGGTTTTGGCTCAAAGTGGCAGGTTGTAGCTCAAAGTGACAGGTTTTGGCTTTGAAAGTGACAGGTTTTGGCTTTCAAAGCGACAGATTGCCACCCCATTGGACATGTTGTGGCTCAAAATGACAGGTTTTGGCTCAAAGTGGCAGGTTGTAGCTCAAAGTGACAGGTTTTGGCTTTCAAAGTGACAGGTTTTGGCTTTCAAAGTGACAGGTTTTAGCTTTCAAAGTGACAGGTTTTGGCTTTCAAAGTGACAGGTTGCCACCCCATTGGATAGGTTGTGGCTTAAAGTGACAGGTTTTGGCCCAAAGTGACTGACAGGTTGCCATCCCATTGGACAGTTTGCAATCCCATTTGACAGTTTTCCAACGAAAGTGCTGGGTTACTCGCTGCAGTTTCAAAATGAGAGACTTGAATTCATCAAGGTGTTAAAGTATACCTGCAGCAGGCTAGTAGGCCAGCAGCTTTCCAACAGTCATGCAATATCCAAATATGGAACTGGAACCCTTGTTTTGAACAAAGGCGTGCGTGAGTATCTAATCGAGTGGCTGTGGTCGTTGTTCGAAGAGCAGGGACTTGTTTGTGAATTAAGGAGAGCGCAACGTATGCCATTTTCACGCCTACGCTGGATAGGTGGCAGACTAATTTGAGTGGGCTTATAACTACATTAAGTGAATTCTCATCACCCTTCTCTTTGCTACCGACTTTGCTGCCCATAGACCAGCTTCATCTTCATTTGACGCAGGTCTCAAGCTTTATTGGGCCATGAGGCCAATTCTTCAGCAGAATGACAGCTTTGGCTTGCACCATGGTGTGTTTGGTTGACCAAATGTTACTAATGGAACTGTAAACTCCAAAGAGAAGCCAATCTTGAATTAGACCAGGCAGCCAATGTTATACATGCACATCCCAGGGAAGGAGGATGAGAAAAAGTGAGATACCGGAAAATCGATACAAGCTTCACCCATAGGCAATTCAGATTTGAACAGCCGAGTGAACAGGAAGTGGAAGCAAATTTTTGAGCTCCGCAGTTTTTAGTTTCCACGGCTTCCTGGCAGCCCTTCGGCGTGGCCAAGAGGACCAGTACTAGTAGTAAGTATAGATTAGTAGTAGGGCTGACCCACCTCTGGCCGCCATGCCCCCAACTACAAAGACCGCCCTCAAGGGGCTCTCAGAGGCAGAGATGAAACTTTTGTGCTCCCTTCCGGGTATTGAGTCGTCTGTGCTGGAAATAATCAAGACCCTGGCTAACCTAGCGTCCGAGTCGGCCGATCGTGAGGCTCGCTTCAACAAAAGGATTGATGAGCTGTCGCGGCAGGTGTCCGGCCTGACTGAGGAGGTTGTATCCCTCAAGGAAGCCGCCATTGCCAAGGCAAGTGTTCCGCCGAAATTTCAAGCTGCTCAGCAGAGCCAGCGTACGCGTGCGAAATCGTCCAGAAATCGTACCCGTACCCACCCAGGCCAGGCGGCCGGGTGCACTAGTAGTAGTAGTACGGGTGAGCCCCGTAGCGTGGGTGACACGGGCGGTGACCCAGAGGCGCAGAGTGACGAAGACATGCAGCACGACGTGACGAGCGTGGAACTTGAGGAGTACGGCGAGGAGTTCCAGCCTCTGGACGTCATTTCTGACGATAGTTGGCAGCTAGTGTCATCAGAGCCACCCAGACCCAAGACATCTGTCCTGTATGTCGGTAACCTGAGTGAGTCATGCACTGACGACGACATCAAAGCTTTCACCCTGAAAAGGTCAGGCACAGCCGGGACTCCAGCTACTGTCCATAACTGTAGCATCCACAAGGCTGAAAATGGCAAGATATCTGCAAGGATCACTGTGGATGCCACTGCCATCGCACTCATCACCTCACCAAACTTCTGGCCAAGGCCACTCTATGCCAGACCGTGGAAGTTTAAGCAACGTTCAGTTGAGCCTGATCGTGACGACTTGCCTCGCAGCCCGGGAGTCAACACGGAGCAGTCCGGCTTGGCAGAATGACTACTGCAAGTTTCCGGCTGCTAGTCACAAACGCCTTTGGGCTGCTGTCCAAACTCGGCGAGTTCCAAAACAATCTGAGTTCAACTAAGCCTGATATAGCGATCGTCACAGAAACGAAATTCACGCCGGACAAGGTTCCACTCGCCATGTCAACTATTCCTGGCTATGCAGCACCTATTCGCCAAGACCGAACTGCTTCAGGCGGGGGCGTAGCTGTCTGGGTGAAGTCCAACCTGCATGCTCGGCACCTTGACACCATTGACTGTAAAGGTTTTGAGGTAGTATGGCTCTTAGTAGATTCATGCTCTCATGGCAAGGTTGTAGTCTGTGCTGTGTATCGTTCCGGTTCAAGTAGCCCATCAGATTGCTCCGTCATCGACTACCTAGACAGCTCATTACCTGCAGCACAGCAACTCGGTGACCATGTAGTCATTGCAGGGGACTTTAATGTCCACAATTCC